CCCCCGCCGCAAGCGCAGCGGAAGGAAACACAATGCATGGTGTGCTTAAAGCGGTTTACTACCATTGACCCAGCCCGCTCGCACTGCAAAAGATATCACGAGGGGCAAGGAATGCCCACTGCAGGAAAACCCCGGGGACTCCAGGAGAATGCTCCCGAGGAACTGTCTCTCACTGCTGTTTCGTATAAAACGTGCGGATTCCAGCGTCACAGCAAATGCGGCCTCACAAGGCATCACATCGTTAGCCATGGATTCAGGCTGGGCACCTTGAAACCAAGCCAACGTAGACAGTGCGAAGGGACGAGCCTGCACTTACTGAGCTGCCCCGCTTTTAAGAGTCTCTGCTGTCATTTTGCGGCGGGCGGGGGCAACATGGAGAAGCTGTGCTTTATACAGAAGTTTGCTCAATACCTGCTGGCAAGGGAAATGCTTTGTCCTAAACGGCCCACCCCCCGTAGAACCGACGCCGGCCATATAGGACCAGGGGTAGCCCATTCCCCCCTCTAAGCTTCGTCTTCTCTCTTGATTTTTGCCGATCTTGCCGCCGAAACATGCCTCCCCTCTGTGCCGTTTCACTCAAAAAGGCAAGTTGGGCGACGGGATCCCGGATGAGGGGAATCGTCTGCCCGATTCCTTTAGCGCGGGTTTCCTGACTTAACTGGCTCAACGAAATGAAGAACAAAATACCCAATGAAACAAAAACACAAAACAAAAAACACCAAAAAAAATACATAACAAATCAAAGAAACCTCCTCCACATAAAAATTGAGCAATACTGAACGTGCTCTACAATGGCGGCTAATCGAGCGGAGCCATCGGCGAGAGTCGAGAAGACACGAAAAAATATATATAGATGTGAACACATTCAACGTGGTAACAAAAGATGTCCATAATGAGAAAGCCTTTCAACTTCGTGGAAAAGAACAATTTTGAGGTTCCGGAGGAGAATGTCTCCTTTTTCCTTAGGTCTACAATTGGCTAAGAGCAGCGCGGTTCAATACACAAAAACCGTGGTGTCTTTACTGGCCATAGGGCAAACGCAGGCCAAGGTTTTTTCCGCAGTTTTACCCAAAGAGGCAAACGCAACCCTAATAAGTAGGTCTGCCTTATGGAGATATGGGAATTGGGTTTCATTAGGGATTTGATTGCCCTGGAAAAAGACCGAGTTTTAGTACCACTGGCATAGGTAATAGCCAGTCTGTGGGGGGAAATCGCTCGACTTAAAAAAAAAATTTTCTACCACAACCGCAAGGGAAGGAAACCCTCATCATAGATCGGGGGCCTTTCCCAAAAACGTTCAAAATCAATTCACACAGAGGATCGAGGTATGCGGTTATCGGTGGGGAAAATGCAAAAAAGGTGCGAGCCGTAATTGACAGTTTAGCGAAAGGAGAAGTTCTAACAAACGTAACAAAGAGAGGCATGGAAAAAATTTTCCGACCATACAGCATGACGGCGCATTCGGTAAAAAGAGCGGAGCTAGCCCATGTGGCTGTGGCAGTGGTCGAAGAAAGCCTCGACCTTCGACTCCTGACCCAGTTGGGAAAACACACTGACCCTCTGGAGTTACCACGCAGCACACCGCGCTACTTAACACATTGGTTCGTTGCTGCAAACACGTCGGCCAAGCTAACGGCATACATGCACATGGTATTGCGTAATGGGTAACGTTGCCGTGGTTTTTCTATAAAGAAAAAAGGGTATGTGAAGCGGCGTTTTCCACGGCAGAACATTCTGCGTCGTATTCACCGTACGCGGGTAGCAAATTAGAAAGATGAGCAAAGATTGCCCCTTCGACAGTTATATGTTGATATTCTATCACTTGACTGGGCCAGAAGTCGACTTAACTTAAAGATGACGAAGCGTTTTAATCAAGTATAGGAAATCATGCGATAGTCCTCATTTCCAAAGAAAGCTCGACGGAAGTCCTCCTTGAGTATATATAAAGGCCGAGGGGTAATGAAAAAGGCTGGCGTTATCAAAAACGCATTGGCACAACCCACTGCACGTTGGGTAGATCTTTTACTCCAGTGGAGGCGAAACTTTCAAGGTCGACACGACGTTTCATAGCCTGGGCGCAAGAAAAAAATGCAGAAAAGCAACACGAAGCCTCGGCGCTTCTGTGGCAAATTTCGCGTTACCTGGGTGCGGTTTATGACGAAACAGCCGCTATTGTTCTACTGAATTCGCTTTTGTTTTTAATAGGTTTACCAGCAGGCATACACAGAAAATAGCGGTGCCAGATAGAAAGAGGAGAACTGGTGGAGCCCACCCGGTTTCCAATAAGGCATAAATGTGGTCCAGAACTATGGCATACTGTCACGAGTGCTTTGGCTAAGGACCCAGAAGCCGCAGAACCCAGATATACAGCACCACACGAGTTACCGATACGGTTTGGATTAATAATATCTGTATTAGCGGGCCTCACGCAGGTGTGGAGCCATCGGACTGCAATGTTGAACAAAACATGCGTCGGCGTAACACAACAGTGGTGGAACAGAAGGTCCTCACAAAACGTTATGAAATCTTTGAGGTATGGTTTGTTTTTAAAGAAAAAACCGTCCCACTCAAGGATAAAACAATTAAGAATCGAATACGGGCTACACCTCCCCAAGAGGCCTCTGCGAAGAAACTGTAAAGCATAACTTCGAGCACGATGCGTGCAGCAGGCATGCTGTGGAGTTCAGTATTTCGGCACTATTTTTTTGGGAGCCTGCGATAGGAATGGTCAAGCCTTACCCTACTTGCTGAGAGGGGTCCTATAACTTAAAATAATACGTGTCTTCTTATCTTGCGTAAGTAAAGTGTCGCAAAGCGTAAGTTTGAAACACAAGGTAAGTCAGAAGCAAGCAATCACAATGATATCCACTACTTCCCAGCAGGCCCCCATGGACGCGAAATGGATGACGGGTCCATCAGCTCTCAGAGCGTTCGTCGAACATTGCGGTCGGACCCCATTTTCTTTTTAGTACAGATCAAATTTTAGTACGCAGGTCAATCGCGTCAAGGGGACGTTAACAATTGAAAATGGCGAAGTTACCATTTGTCTGGAGAATGATGCTAAGACTAGTTTCGTTTTTTTGCGATACACCATGGTGCCGTTTAGCATGCCAAAGAATGAGAACTTTATCAAGACTTTTGACGATGCCAGGGCGACTTTCTGACTGAGTGGATGCCGCTGGAGGAAAGGAAATCAAGACTGTATCAGCAGTAAGAAATGACCAGGGCAGAACTGGCTGAGAAAAATTCAAGTATCTGACAGGACGCTTAGGCTCAAACCGTGGGATCACAAGGTCGCATTAATCAAATGCAGAATCAAATTAACGCGTTGGAATCGCAGAAAAACCAGTTGCGCGATGAGAGCAACCGGATGCGAGCTCAGATTAATCAGATGCAGGCGTGGCTTACCCTAAAAGAAAAACAAATGGGACAGCCGGCGCAGCCGGCAGAACCAGATGACAAAACGGCTATTTTACACCAGATGTTCACACCGTGCCACATACTGCTAAGATAGACGGGCGTGCCGAACGACAATTTAATGCGTGGGGAGCTCAACCCCAGGTGGGATTGCGAGGAATTCTTGAGCTGAGAAATAAGTTCGTGGAAAAGGGATTCCAACCTGAAGAGAATATCCGTACTTTTGAAGGCGCCTTGGAGTATTTATGGGGGGCATCGCCAGGACAGTTGCTGGCGGCGTATCGTGGTCTTTTTTCATTGCTCATGAAACCTAGTTTTGATTTAGGTCAGACGTAGGGCAATTTTGTGGCATGAATTTATGCCATCCACAGCGAGGGAATTTCGGCCGAAGAGGGCACCACAGCACAACATGCTATGTGCAGCTGGCGAAGGCTCCGTTGAAGCCCCAAAACGGTTATTGGCGCCGGAAGCAATGAAATCCGGGGCCTGGGAAGTATTGGAATCCTTACCGAGTGGCTCGGGTGCTGCCGGGTTGCCAGGAAAAGGGCAATTCTCCGCGGGAAGGGGCCAGCATACCACCCCTTCATGCCAGGCCCCACGGGCACCCCCTACTAGGAAGGGGTCTCTTAGCACAGGTTCTTCCGCCATTAAAAACCTCGGAAAATGAGATTGCAGTAATTACGGCACCGACACACGACCCATATGTCACAGCGCTGGCGCCCGAGGCGAATCGCACAGCCAAGGGTATGTGGACCCGCCCGGCTTGGGAACAAAGGGTGCCCATAATGCGGAGATTCCGCGACTTCGCGAAAAGGAACAAATTAGAGGTTCGGGAAAAAATTTGTTCCTCTTTTTATAGCAAGTTTGCAACTGGCCAAGGGCAGCGCGATGCAATACACCAGAATTTTGTTGACCTTACTAACCCCAGGGGGGCCACCGGCTCAGATGTTTTGGGCCGGTCTTCAAAGAAAGGCGGCCGCAAGCCCCATAAAACAGGCCCGCCCCATGGAGAGATAAAGGTTGCATCTCGTCAGCGATTTATTGACCTTAGAAACCGACCGGGTTGCCCTACGGCCCGCCTTGGGCACAGCCAGTCGGTGGGGCGAAATCGCTCTACTCCAAAAGGAAAATTTTATTCCCACCCTCAAAACGAGGAAGCCCTCATTGTAGATTGGGGGGCCCTCCCCAATACATTCAAAATAAACCCCCACAGAGCGGCGCGATGCGTGGTTATCGGGGGTGGGGGGTGGGTCCAAAAAAAGCAAGAGGCGTTCTCAAGGGCGCGGTGGGGGAGAATGGCCCACAAGGTTAACCGCACGAGGCATGGAAAATGCACCCCGACCATGCGGCATGGCGGCGCATTCCTTACAAAGAGGGGCGTTGGCGCATGCAGACGCCGCAGTGATCGAACACAATCCCCACCATCGACTGCAGGCTCAGCGGGGGAAACAAGCAGACCCCCTATAGTTATTACACAGCAAGGCTCGCTACGTGGGGCCTTGGGTCCCCCTGGTAAACAAGTCGGCACATCTGACGACATATGTTTGGGCGGGGTCGGCAACTGGGCTATGCCCCCATGGGCCTGTCTGGACAGCTGGCAGGATAAGGGGCAACTTTTTCAAGGGCATAGCATTTTGCGACGTACCCATCGCACGCGGGTGACCGATAAGAACGATGAAAGAAGGTTACCGTGACAACAGGTAGATTTGGATAGTCTCTAATTGCCCTGGTTCCGGAGCCGACTTAATTCCAGGGCTCTGGAACGGTTTAACGCAGTGTTGGACTTGGTGCAACAGCCAGCCCATTTCAGGAAAGGAGAATGAGAGCCCCTCTTGAGGATGACCGAAGGGGATGCCCAGGTTATGAAGAGGGCTGGCATTATTCAAGCCACAACAAAGCTACACACTACCGGGTGGGTGGTGCCTTTTACGGTCGTGAAAAAAAAACCGTCAGGGCCGCGGCGCCGTTTCGTTGCTTTGCCAAAAGCAAAAAAATGAACAGGAGGACCGCGGGGTTCTGGCCCCTCTGGGGCATATTTTCCAGCACCTGGGTGCGGTTTATCATGGTACAGCTGCCATTTTTGATCTAAAAGCATATTTTTTTTCAAGGCAGGCTTGCCAGAAGAGACGCA